GTTTTGCCATTGTATCTACACCCACACTCACACCCTCATAGATATATATTCAATCTAAGCAGTATCATAGTATTTTATACCAAAATAATTGTTCTTACTTCACCGTAACCCTATGATCGAAAAGAAAAAAAAAGTGGTACATATATGTCCCACCGCCCGTTAAAGGGTTAAGGAATATCTGATTGAGTATATACTGAAAATATTTGTTTCGATTTTTTTAATGTTTATACAATTCTTAACCCTTTCACTGGCGAGTTTGGGAGGATTCACGAATTTCGCCTACATGCTTATAGGGGAATTCGGCAGTGTCACTATGTGATCGCATATGTGTAAAAATAGCTCCTAATAACTATATTGAGGAGTTTAAACTATGTTATATTTATTTTAAAAACATTGGGTTCATTTTTCTATACTAATTTCATGTTATTACAATTGGCGAGAGTTCACTGTATTTAAGCCAAAAGTCGGAGAGACAAAAAGCTAATTTTAGACGACTAAGTTCCTTGTGGCAATAAGAATTAATGATAACCTTCTTGAAAATTTTCTTCAGACCAAATGCATAAACACCATTACTTAACCTCGAATAGTCGTCAATTAATTCCGTCAATGTAGTGTCATTGGCCCTAGTTTATTATAGTTCCACGATCGAAAGCAAACAAATAATATCTATTTATAACCACCGCCCATGAAAAAGTTAAATATAACATTGAGATCAAGGTCAATACTAGTAGAGTTAAATGTTCAGTCTCGGTATATACTTAAATATACATGATAAATTTGTTTCTATTTTTATAAACTAAAACAAAAGATTTAAAATACGTTAACTAATTTTACTTTTTTTAATCATATTCTCTCTATTTTTGTAATGATTTTCTATAATAGGCTGGTATTTTACGTGAACTTCTTACACAACTCACTGAAAAATCAGCTCATGGTCCATTAACATTCGAACAAATTCATAAGAAAATCTTAAAAACAAGTGATTTCGTTGCATGGGAACATGAAAAATATTCTTGGTCAAAATTACCCGCATTTACATTATCACATTTTAATTCATCCAAAACATGTTCACATTCATCTATTAGTGATATACGTGATGATGTCGATTTAACATCAATCGAACGTAATTATCAATATATAAGTGATGCATTAATTCGTTTAATATTTAATAAAACTGATATAAACTTATCAATAATTGATCAAAACTTTTTATTATCTGATCAACAATCTGA